TAGAGTTTGTTGTATGTTCTGGGTTTGAATTTAATAGATACTTTGTTGTTTTCACGTTTTTCTTTTAGAATGTTATTTTAAAAATTGTTTGTTCAAAAACAGAGCTTTAGTGCCAACTATGTTCTGTACTTTTTTGGAAAATCAAAAAAAAAAACTATCTAAGATACCGGTCGATGGAGGAAACCCTCATAATGAAGAGACTGAATAACCTAAGAGGAACATTGGTAAATGAGACTTGAGTGTTCGAACAACAAAAATATGTTTTTGCTTTTCTTGAATAACGGAAGAACCTGTAGAACTTTTATTTCAACAAAATTGAACACTATAGTACCAGTTAGGGCATTTGGACTGATACGCGTTGCGAGTTGTTCAGAATTGAGCCAAGAACTAATGATGAAATGCTTAAAAATTTTCATTTGACAAAATTTTTGACTCTTTGGAATACTTTTTGCCTGGGCAAACCTTTACTGAAACAACCAAGAGAGAGAAGTGATGCCTATCTACGTCGAAACAATCTGATGTTTACAACAAACGCATGCTGTTAATCAAAATAACAGAATTATCTTTCATGATTTATCTTTTTTTTCGATGTGTCGAAGAAAATAACAGTTACGTATTACTTGAGTTGTTATTTTTCTTCGGATGAAATTCAAAATTTTAACAAGTTTTTTTAAGCATTCGTAAATTAAAATCTAAAAAGCACGGAAACAACTTCGAGCTCAGATTCAAAAAATGTTTTCACTGTAATTTTTTTGCTAAATTGTAATGGTTTAAAAATGGCCATTCTGGCTAGTTTAAGACAAATAACTCAAAATAAGTTTGTGCAATTTAAGCCTGAGTGGCGTATTAAATTTTTCAATTTTGAGTTTAGGCGGTCAAGGCAATTTTAATCAGGGAAATTTTGTGCCTTAAAGTTTTGAAACACGTTTCTTATACTTATCGAATTTACAGTCATCTACCGTACACTGTAGGTTTTCTTTAAAAAAATTATTTCTTGGTTTCATGTTCTTCCACTTAACATTATATTTCAATGTGTTTGATGAAAAACAGAGTTACTAGGTCAATTAAAATCTAAACACCAATAAGTTTGGGAAAAGTAAACTAGAAGACTACCTGATCAAAACGTTTGTTCAAAATGTTTTGTTCAAAATTTTATGATATCGATTGATGTAAAAATCCAACATGCTGGAGAGACTGGATGATGGACAGGGCACATCGATAAATCAGATTTGAGGATTTATAAATCACAACTGTATTTTGGATTTATTGCAGAAAACACAGAACTGCACCTATTTTATTTCAAGAAAACGGCGGTCAAAATCATCAATTATTGCATTCGGGCTGACCCATGATACAACCTTGTAAGAATTGAGCAAAAAAAGGATGAAAACTTTATAAAATTTCTTTTGGAAATTTTTAATTGGCTCTTTGGAATACTTGTTAGCTTCCGTAGTCCTGTACTGAATTAATTGATGCATATGATGCCTACTTTCAAACAATCTGACTATTACAAAAAACGCATGCAGTCTAAGTCTGTTTTATGCAGTCTTGTTAAGTTTTCTGTTCCGACTGTCGAAGAAAGTGACGAGAGTACTTAGCTCAAAGCGTTACTTTTCTCCAGACCAAATTCGAATTTTTAACTAGCTTTTTTATTAGATTTCTTAGACTAAAACCTAAAAAAGATTAGCGCCTCGAGCTCAAAATTCAAAAAAATATTTTAATTGTGATCTTTTATGTAAAATTATGAGGATCTGAAAATGGCAAATTCGGCCAAATTAGGAAAATCAACGCCTAGTTTATTTTGTGCTATTTGAGCGTAATTAAATCGTTCCAACCTAAATTGAGGCAATCAATGCGCTACTAGACTCGAAAAACGTCATAAAATTTTGGTGGATGACAATTTTATTGACTCTAAACGGGTGGCGCGTTTATCTCAAAATGATTTTCAATCGCAATTGCTTAAAATTGCCGCTAGTGAAAATTCAAAATGCCATTAAAACGGAATTAGTCAAGTAATTTAAAAAAGGTATCCCCGGGGCGAAGTTGGCTCAATTCTCAAGGAAGTCTTTGAGATTATACAATGACAGAAACGATTTTGAATACACTTAGAATTTTCACAGGTTCTTGTTGGAATTCGAAGTAAAAACAAAACTGCTCGTAAATCAGGGCAAAACTGCTTTGCCCTGATATGCGAGCAGTTTTGTTTCATACTGTCACTTTAGTTCATAATTCATATCGAATAGTTTCTGGGAAAAGAAAATGTTGAAAACCGATAATTTTTTGACAATATCAAATGTAAAATGTTGAGGGGTATGAAATTAATACGACCGATCCGATTAGCTAGCCTCAAATCAATTTGAATAAAATTTGTTGTGCGGGATAATTCGCCACGCATAAGCATTTCGCAATGTGAATAAAATCTTCGAAGCGCGCATAATTCAGTCCAGAATATGGCCAAATTGGCAATTTTTAAACCCCCAGAAGCTTACAAAAAATAAACGGAGGTAAAATAGCTTTTAAAATTTAAACTCAAAATGGGATGTACAATTATTTTTGTTGATAACTATTTTTTCCATAGGTGAAAATTTCCTGAATTAAAAAAACCACACCGAACATAAATATTTATATTTTTTTTGAAAGTCGGAACAAAAACGAATTTTCAGTTGCTATACAAGTAGCACAGGAAATTCGACACCGTTTAGTTTTCCAAATTTTAAATGAAATAGAAAAACTATTATAGCTTTTTGATATTTCTGTTATGTATACGGCTAGTGAGACAGTGAGAAGTGAGTCAATTTTTTGGATGATTATAACGAAACACAAAAGTTAGATATAAAAGGCAGTTTGAAACCTACCCAGAGATGAAAAAAAACGCTGAAAAACGGAAAAAAACCCCAACCAGTGTTTCTCATAACTGAGACAGTTTTTTGAATATATCTTCTTAAAATTCGAATCTAGGCAATCGGCTCTCTGATATTTTAACACTTATGGCCACCAAAAACTTTTTTTGTTGTCAGAATCTGACAGAAAAAGAACAGTTTATTCATAGTTCCTTCTTGTGATTTTCAGTGGCGGCTTATTTAGTTTGCAGAAAGTTTTATTGCCTCTCATAACTTATGCAAAGCACGCATAAAAGTAAATGTTATCCTTTTTATACCTTTGTTTGTATGCAGACAGGAAGTTTTGAGCCTATTAAATTTTTAGTAGTGGTTGGTTTTGTTTTTGAACTTGATGAACAAGGAGTAGAATTTGTTTGATGGGGTGATAAAGCGGAGATGACATTTGGACTTTGACTGATAAGTTCAGGCAAGATTGGTGTTTCTAGTCATAAGTGAGGAAAATTCATTCATGTCACAAAACTTTTTTGCCACCTATGGAATCATTTTATTTCTAAGACAAACGTTTTTTTTTTATAACTCACAAAAATTATTTAAAAAAACTTCCAGAAAAATGCAATTAATTTCAATTTTTTGCTGAAATCAGTTGTTTTACAAGGTTTTCAACGGAACCCAATATCTTTAGGATATAGCAATGATCAGACTGCTTGTCGGATTTCATCGTTGTCGAACAATTTAAACATTTTTTTCCTGGAAAAACTTACAGGTGGCGGTAACAGCTGAAGAATTGCCTTTTTGTAGCAGAGTTTGAGCGCTGAATCGGCTTTTATTTAGTTCACTAACTGGTTACTTTCAATTTTTTAAGCTATGATTTACATACCAATTTTAGCGCGTAACTTTTTAAACTTTTTTGTCTCTTCCAGTTCTATTCAAATCTATTCAATCATATCAATTGTGTGGTTATTTTCCTGCATAAGCTATAAGATTTTAAAACAAAAAAAATAGTTCACCTCTTTCCTGGAAAAGGTAAATCAATAGCGCAAAATCATAGTCTGTTAAACCGCATAATTTTCCACTATTGGTTTCTTTTTTCGTTGAAAGAATTAAGCTCTGATTATTTTTCACAGAGAGAAGATTGTTAAAAGGGGTATATTTTGGTATGATGCAGTCAATGAAAAAGATATTCTCTGGACGGGCTTAGGGTTCGAGTGGTGGGGGAAATTTTTGTGTGGTGCTGTGTATCAAATCAATTCGTTCGTGTCAAATATGACACGTAATCTCTTAATCCGTCTTTCTTCATCTAAATCTAGATTGAAGCGAATATCTTAATAATACAACCTTCGGAATTCTCAAAATTCCATGACCTGATTTTATAATTTTTAATAAGAAGACTATTTTTATAAATCCTTTTTTTTCTTAAAAAAATGTGAAACTTTGCTTTGTTTTTTTTAAATTTCCAACTCGTAATTTAAGAACCTTATAAGTTTTTAGCTCTCATCAAACGCATATTCTTTTTTCTTTCTGCATTATCACCATCCCACTTATTTTATTGATTTCATGCCAAAAGAAAGCTGCTTCAGCCTATGATACGAGTTCAATACATGAAATTAGTTTTTAATTCAAGCGAATCTTCAACATAGGAATGATATGTCTCAAACTTATGGTTTCAGTCCAAATTTTTTGAAATCTGACTAAAACAGACAAATAATTTTAGCTCATAGGTGTAACATCGATTTAGAAAAGCTGTCACTAGTATTAAATAGTTATAAATAAAACTTCGCTGATCATTCAGGTGTATTACAAATATGAGATTTAATAGAAGCTTAATTCAGATTATATTTTTAAACCAGGTGTTTGGTGACATGGAGAACTAACTGAGGCCTGTATTTATGTAATGGTCTAATGTTTTTTAATCGTTATATAATAAATCAGTAACGTTTTAGTTACAATTCAAGTGTACGGTGACCTTGAGAACTAACTGTGACCTATACTTATATAATGTTCTATTGTTTTGTAATAATTATATAATGAAAAAAAAGATGTTTTAATAACATTTCAGGTGTACGGTGACCTTTAGAACTAACTGTGACCTATACGTATGTAATGTTCTATTGTTTTGTAATAATTATATAATAAAAAAAAGATGTTTTAATAACATTTCAGGTGTACGGTAACCTTGAGAACACGGGCCAGGAACTGCAGTTCAAATTAGATGAAAGACAAAGTGGAATTGTCTCATTAGACGGGGGTCCCCTATCCTACTCCTATAGACTTAGTCATATTAAGTTAAGATACGGTACAGGCGAGACACATGGGTCGGAACATTCGGTCGACGGGTTCTACTTCGCGGCTGAGGTAATTACATTTGTGATCAATTTGGTACAATTTTTGAAATTTCGTTAGCATTTTTTTAAACTCATAGCCTTATTTGTCCTCGGATTTTTCAAGATGAATTTGAAAAAATTATTGGCAATCAAAAAAAGAATAGCTCAAAAAATATTTCTCTGGTGTAATTTACATTTTTTACTTAGTGTTCCCGGGTCAAAAAAAATGCTTATCATACAATTTTTGTTTCGGGAAAAAATGCTCATTGGGCAATTCCATACATTTTCAAAGAAAAAAAAATTACAAGCATTTTTTCCATTAATGAAATTGTTTGATAGTCTTTTTTCATCAGGGGAATGGTACCGCTAGCATTTGTGCCAAAATGATATCTTCAGAAAAATTTTGGAAGATATCAGAGATTAGATTATTCAAGAAAATTGAAAGAATCTTGAAGAAAAAAAATAAGATAGCGAAGTTTTCTTAAAACATTTTTGATGATTTGCAAAAAGGGGCGATTTCGCTTTCAAGATTTTCCCAAGATTTCGAAAAATTTTTTGGCCGAGTTATTGAAGATCAATTTAAGTTGTTCAGATAAAAAAAAATAGAAAAAATACTCAAGAACTCTCTATATCTATGACTTTTGGAAAAATTTAATTTCGGTTGAAATGAAGCTTATCTTAAAAATTTTATGAATGGAATTTGTATGATTCAAGCATTTTTTCCAACGAATTCCTAAATAGAATTGTACAATAAGCTTTTTTCGGTCTTTGGAGGTCAACCTGGTCTCTCTGGCTCTGTCAGGTTTTTCCAAATATTTGTTTTGTATTTCAGCTGCAGTTATTTTTCTACAATGACAATCTCTATTTGTCTTATGACCAGGCTCTGGGAAAAGCACACGGCATAGCAGCGGTCACAGTCTTTATTCAGGTACAATGTTCACTTTTCATTCAGAAAGTTGTTTAAGGTTTTTTCAAAAAATGCGAAAAAAATAAACACTCAATAGGTGCGTTAATAAAGCTGCTGTTTGAAAGTTGAGATTTAAACAGTGGTTTAAATAGTGAAAAAAGGATCCAACTACTTGGGCGTCTAAATTTTTGGAAAAATTAAACAGAAAACCTGCGTTGGATTGTCATTACTAGTCTAGCAAAATTATGCATGAATTATACGGACATATTTCACCTTGCAAATGTTTCTGATCCTGTCCGATTGTTGTCAACACAAACATATAACCAAAATGATAGCAAAATCACTGTTGGCAAGAATCTTGAAAATTGAGTATTGGCCGTCGACTTGAAACTAGGTATAAAACATTCGTTTTTGCATAATTTGATTTGTTATCCCAAACAAAACAAAACTGGCTGTATTATTTTTTGCAGGAAAGTGACAACGAGACCAACTCTGAGTTCCAGCGTCTCTTCCACGGACTGAACAAAGTGGGGTTTAAAGGGGAGAAGAAACAAGTTGAGGGAGTGAGTGTGAGAGACCTACTCCCCCTAACCCACCATTACATTACATACCAGGGGAGTCTAACAGCTCCCCCGTGTAGCGAAGGAGTCACGTGGATACTGTACAATAGGCCCATAAATATACCTCGATGGCAGGTATGTTTATATTGAGTATTGAAATTTTGGTTTTCTTTGAAAAGTATTTGGCAAGTATCCAGGCCTGGCTTTCAACGTTGTTTAAATTCATAGTAAATCAATGCAGAGCCTAAGTTTGTTTGTCGATAATCGTGTGGAGGCGCTCACTTTAAGTTTCAACTCAAAAAAAAATGTCAAAGCAGAGGTTTGGGTCGAGCAAAAACTCGAAACATGCCATGAGAACGGTCAAAAAATACCTCACTAACGGCCGTAAAATACTAATTGTTCGCGGTAAATGTGAGTTAAGAATAATTAGTTCGAACATTAACTTGTTTGTTAATGTTTTTGATGCAAATTGAAAACCAGAATACCCATAAGATGAAAAAAGGCTAAAAAATAATGCATCTCTTCAAAGTATTTGAGTTGCAAATAACCCATCAATTTCATTCTGATAGAAAGAAATCCTGAGGTATTACCCGAAAAACATAAACTATAACGGTTGAGTTAGGGTAACTAGCAATAACTGAAGTAGAAAAATACCCAAATTTGGTCGAGACAGTCGAAACATATCTTGCTTGTGTCGAGCACAATCGGGCACATTGTTTTCGGTCGAGCACGGTCAAAACATATCTTGCTTGGGTCGAAACATACCCGCATTCATTAGAGACGGTCAAACAAACCGAATTTTAGTCAAGATTGTCGAAACATACAATGAGCATTTTGACCTGGGTATATTATTGAGAGAACTCTGGGTTATATAAATTTACATTCAGGCTATGCGCGCTACAAACATGAGTAAAAACTTTATAGCTTAATATTTAAAAATCAACCGCTTAAGCGGACACTGTAGGCTATTCAATTGGTTTAAAGCGCCGTATATGAACTTTTCAATTCAAGAGAAGCATATATTTGTCAAAAAATAATTTTAAATTGTGAAAAAATTCTTTCGAATTTTTTTTTGAGTTATATGAATAAATGATCATTTTAAAGAATTAAAATTTAACATTTGATATTCAACCTATTTTTCAAATTATAGCATTCCTGGCAGGATTCCTGAGTCGCCCTAGAATCTATAAACTCCTGGCAGTGAATGCAAGGTTTTGCTCTGGCTATGAAACCCGTTTTCTCGAGAGGGGGCATTGAAAAATTTTCGCCTTTCCGAAAAAAAACTATGCTATATTGGCACCTATAGAAGCTTCATTGAGCCGGTTGTGTATAAACGGATCTTGTAAAACAGTTCCAAAAAAGGAAGCATTCGGATGGAATAAGGTAAATTTTTCCAAAACTTTTTTGAAACCCCGATTGCAGGATAAGTTCAATGAACGAATTTTGCCAGCAGTCTCAAAGTTTTTCTTAATTTCAAACTATTTTATGTTTTGATAAAAAAAATTACTTTGATAAGTTTTTCAGGTTGAAAAATTTCTGCACGATTATCATCTTTTTTTTCTAATTTAAGCGTTCAAAACTTAGGATGCTATTTTACTTAAGCAGAACTGCATAAAATTTCAGCAAAGAAGATTACCTTTACATCATGAATTCGGTTTTAGATCGCTTCCGCACAACATCGGAAATTTCATGGATCAATCGTCTTTTATCTATTGTTATTTGAATGTAACATCTCATAATTCTAATTCTAATTCAATAATCAGAGGATTACAAACAAAGGATTTTTTCGGATGTTTCGATCAAAAAATAATTTCATCTTTGAAGCCGTTGTTCAGCTTTGGAAGCTGTAACCGACAGGGATTTTCGCATGGTCGCTGGACGCTGGGCGGAAAATCTCGATTTGAGAGAAATTATCAAATATTATCCCGGTAATCAAATATTATCCAGGAGAAAATGAACATCAATTTTTAAAAAAGTGCTTTTTTTCAGATCCGAAACCTGCGTTCTAAAATATCCCGCAACAAACCCCCACCCGAAGGAACAGCTCCTCGCGAGGCGGAACGTACACGGCTACCCATGATGGGAAATACCCGCCCCCTTCAGCAGAGAGGGGGGAGGGGCATGCATTTATGGACCAATGTCAGAAGTAGATTGGAGGGAGGTCAGGGTCCTGCCGCTTGTGCTTATGGAGTGGGGGACCCCTCTATCATGAAATACTCCAGTAAGTAGAACTCGCTTTTTACACAGCTTTAAATCAGATATATTATTTGAAACTATCGTTGTAACCATGGTAATTCTCCAGTAACTTTTATTGATTGGATACTAAAATTTATGGGGCTACAGCATAATTATTTCAAAAAAAATTGTTCAATTTAGAAGCGTCTCTAAATACCGTTGACACGCACTTGTAAAAGTTTTATTACAACTGCTAATTTATATTTTTTGGATTTTATTATTTTTCATGCGATGCATCTTTTTTCAATTTAAATTTTTTTGCGTCAATCTCGCAAATTTCCCAAATATCCTTAAAAGACGTGACTCTCCACAGAAAAAAAACGTACGGAAATGTCAAAAAAGCAAATGGTTACGTCATTTTGTTCAATGGTCCGTAAAAACTTTCCCTGAATATTATCAAACTAGTGCTCGTGCGAAAACTTATAGAACATTTACCGGCTTCCGTGAATCATTCCAAACTACATGACTTACGAAATTATAACAGAAATTAGATGACAAACACTAAAATGTCAAATCTCTTGCTAAAATCAATGAACACTTTTATGTTAGTTTGATATTTTTCTGTATCATAAACATCAGAACGTCATATCTCTTGTTAAAGTCAATGAATTGCTTGATGATAATGCGGCGTTTTTTCTACATAAACATCAAAAAGTCAAAGCTCTTTCTTAAATCAATAAAAAGTTTGGTGTTAGCTTGAAACTTTTTCTACGTTTTTCAATAATGTGATTCGATTAAAAACCATCTGTTAACAAGTGATCCTAGAATAAAACATTTGTAACAAAAAAAATTATGTGAGATCTCAAGATTCCACCATGTTTGGGATTCGAAAAACGCAAAAGAATTCGGTTCGATTGAACGAGTCAAAAACTGAGCAGAAGGCGTTACAAAAAAATCTATACAGCGTTGAATCTTTTTTCTAGTTTCTCTTGAATTTTTTCTAGTTTTTCTAATTTCTTCCTAATAGGTCCCTCATTCTCTCCTTGTCCGCCATCCAAAACTTCCTTCTAAGTAATCCTCCCTTGCCACCCCCAAGATTGTACGATCCCCCAGTTTACTCCGAGCCTCACATTGGGGGCGTGAACGTTTAAGGAAGGGGCTACGGGTGGATGAACATGTTCATTCGGATTTTAGTTTAGCAGAACGCGCAAAAAAAGAAGTATTGACACTTCATCTTTGCAAATTAATACACTTTTCTTTCGATTCTATGAACAAAAAAAATCATGAACTGCAATAAAAATGGGTTATAATCTATTATAATGATTATAAAGATTTCCAAAATTGATAAAACAATTGATTAAATTCCCCTAAAAGACCATTTTCACGAACAGATGTGTCATGAAAATCGATTATATGGGTTAAATTTTTTGGCGTTTTAATTCCTTGTAACAGATTATTTTCCATGAAACTCTAGTGCGGGACAATATATGAAAATTAGGACAAAGACTAACTAAATTTTTCTGTTTACTTATTGTTTAGGCGAGGATAGAGCAAACCATAAACGCCTCAATTTTGCAAAGCCTTTTCTTAAGTAAGTTTTTTGAGTTGGAAAAGTTTATAAATATTATTTTTCGCTTGGATAAGATGTGGATTTTTCTCCGAAATCAAGTTTTGAAATAGCAATAAAATTAACCTTGCAACGAGATTTTGCAAACAGTACCCATAAACGAGATGTGGGGGAGATGAGTTGAGGTTGCAGGGAGTTGCACGCGATTGACCACTTGCTTGCGTTAACGGATTTTTTTTTGTGTCTCGATCTCTCTTCTTAACATTAGTTGCTGGGATCTTGAAAAAAAAATTTTTTAGCTTTCCGATACTTTAAAACGATTAAATTTTTGACTATATAACTTTTCCTTAGTCAGAACTGGCCTTGTTTAATCATTTCTCATCAAATCACGCCTTTTCAAAAACTTGAAGTTTGATTTAGTTTTTCTAGAAACGTCTTGAAATTTTTGAATTTTCAACTGCTCTCTGGCATGTACTAAATTTTCCACGTTTTCTGATCCCATAAATTAAACTAAAGCTTGGTTAAAGCTTGGGTAGTCTAAATCGCAGAAAAAAGAAGAAATATGCTCGTATCATTGTAATGCTCTGGATGTTCGAGCTCTCTATGAAGAATAAATGAAGTAGAAGAAACTTTCACAAAAAAGGAGAGATTTTTTTTCATACTGTTTTTTTTTGAAAATGGTAAATTTGGCGTATAGAGTAAAGGCCTATAGATTTTTTTAATTTTAAAAATCAGTTCAGAACATAAAGTTTTTAATTTTCAAGCGATGACATGAACAAATTGTTTTCCATAATTCTGACGTTTTCACCCCAGTACTAAATGTTCACGTTAATTTTTTGGTGTGTAAGGTATGAAATTCATATTGAATTTACAGCTAGTGAAAACCCGAAACACTTATTTTGAAAACGTTGGTTAATCATTTAATTGAGTGTAGTGCGAGAGATTTTTAATGCCTAGAAAACTCCCTGCAAACAGCAGAAGCAATTGTTGTTTTTGAAGTTAAAGGTTTTCGTTAGAAATATAAGCTTCTTGTTATAGACTTTTGTTATATAATCATCTGAATTTTTAGTCAATTTTATCTAAAGCTGAAAAAATTTTCTTTCCCATTTGAAAAAAAAACTTAACAGTCTATTTGTATTTTTTTGCGGAAAGCTGGCTTCTTCTTTTTATGGGATTTTTTTGGCACGAGGAGATCACAGATAGCAACACCTTGAAAACATTTGTTTTGCCCGTTCATATTCAGCTCGAATCCAGTTAACAATTTCATCTATTATATGTCAAAACGTCAACTGTGAAAATCTGGCAGTGGTAGAAAAAAACAACAATTTTTTGTTTGAAAACAAAATTGCAACTTCTACGTTCCAAAACTTCTGAAGCGCAATTATTAAGACAATTAGTTTGCTTCCAATTGAGTGGAGATAATTCACCATCTTTTGAAAAACGAAACATATCGCGCGCTAATTATCCAAAGTTACTTTACACAGATACTTTAGAGCATCATAACTTCACAAAAAATATCAGAGGCAAATAAATATTAAATTTCAATCTGTTTACTTCAGAGGATTTGCAAAATTTGCAGAAATGGTTAATTAAAAGGTGGAAATGTGTCAGAAAAAGCAAAAATTGCCCAAGTACAATTATTCTGATTTTTCTACAAAAATTGAAATCATAAAAACTGTTTGCGAACTCTAAAAAAGTTTTTAAGACCATATCTTGATAAAAATGGCAATTTTGTTTCACCACATAAAACGCAAAACGAAAGTTTTTCGATGAAATTGAAACCTGTAAAATTCAAGCTAATGTACAATTACTTTCACGGCCGAACTTTGCGAAGCTCGGATCTGAATTAACTTATGATCAGACTTAACTTTTGTTTTATGATCAGACTGTTTTTGGATAATTTGAGACAATCTAGCGCAAAAAAAACAAAAAGTTTCAAATTGATTTGAAGCAAATGTTTTGGATTTTTAAGACATTGCTAAAGCAACATCACTTAACTTTGTTCTGCTCAGTTTATAGTTTGGGATAGAAAAAAAGAAAGATACTATTTTTTCCAACTCTTTTTAATCTTCTGTTGATTTATCTAGAAAAGTTTTCGAACGGAATTTTTTTTATTGGGTCTTTCGCTGCAAATAAATGTTCCAGGTCTTCCACTCTTATTTTTCCAGTTCAAAAAATTCCGAAAATTTACCCTAAGTGTATCAATTTTTTTCACAGAAGGTTCAAATTTGAAGTGAAATATTTTGACAAAATTCAAAATCATCTGATAGACATTGATAGCTTGAGCACAACTAGAAGGTTTTTTTACCCATTATTGTTTAGCCCCCAAAAAAGAAAGCTTTTAAATTTGCAAATTTTTGTCATTTGTAATATTTAGCGCGCTATATACTTCGAGTTATTAGCGCGTTACAGACGATTAAATCCGGCTCGGAAATTTTCAATAATTGCTGAATACTTTATAAATATTGTACTTGAAATAGCCTGGGGATCTTAAATGCAAACTAATATTGTTTTTAGTTTTTTTTGTAAATTTCTTCAAATTTTTTAATTGAACATTGTTCCATTGACCTCGAGGGGCAACCAGAATATTCATGCAGTGTTGTTGGACTTAAAAGTGAACAATTCAAATCAGTTTTTGGCTTTCTTCATTCAACGTAGCTATTAAGTTTTTTCTTTTACTTTGCAAAGATCGGATTTCAGGGTTTCGGATTGACAAAAGACCCGATCTGAAAATTCACATTTGAGTGGTGTATTGGACGAAAATTGCATGGGCTTTTCTTGAAAAAATCGATTAGCTGAAAATCGTTTACTACATTAGCTTCTCATATCTTGATGTTCTGAAATTTTTTGCGTTGGTAACTTTTTTGTAACGCTCATTGAATCTAACAATAAACAAGACTAATGATATAAAGCAAAATTACTGATTGCTGCGAATACACTTTACCATCTTTGAAGTAGCTTTCCCTTTTCAAAACCGATGACAATTGCAAAAGTGAACTCTTTAAATGCTATATTGAAAATTTTTTTTGGAAGTTTTCTCATCACAAGTCGTTTCAAATCTAATAGCAGGTTTCTTAGTCCAGAATAACCTCAGAACTCAGCATATAAGTCTAATGAATTTTTAAAAATTTAAACTTTTTGTATTTTTTCAAAAATTTATTATACATTTGCATCTTATTGTTGCATTGAAAATAAGGAGGAGCTTGGTCTTCGGATGTGTGTTTTTTTTTTTTTTTGTTTTCACACATTAACAGTTTTTTTGTTCTGTGTTTGTTTTTTGTTGTGAAAAAATGTTGTGAAAACTATGCCCAAAAAATTTTGTTATCTAATTTTGAGCTTGAATGTACTTTCAGTTCAAATTCAATGCTACCTCACTTTCATTCAATTTTCATTCTTTTCGTTTTTCATTAAATTTAACCATTTGATCAAAACATGGGGGAAAATGAAACAAACGTTCAAAGTTTTGCTAAATAACTTTTGGATGCAGGAACCGGCTATCTCTCTTGAATATCGAATCATCTCTATTAGAAATTTTTTCATTTTAGTGAATACTTTGTACTCGCCTACAATATCAAACCCAGAATATCAACAGGAGCAGACATCGTCATCAGCTAGCCAATCAGAGCCTTCCAATTCTGTCGTCCAATCACAAGCCAGCAACAACGATTTCCAAACACTTCATTTTAACCCTATTCCAATTGAAACGGATAATGGCGGATAACCCGATGCAATTATTACAACCGGTACATTATGGCAATAATTTGACCTTTGCTAAACTTAAACTAGAGTTTAAGGTCATTTGTCATAAGAACAAATGTGCTACGACGCCAAGAGAAAGTGCCTTCCTTAAAGCCATGAAACGAAAAAAATACACCTAAATGGCTGAAAACATTCTTTATTTCTGTTTCGAAAAGTTGCACAATAGCCAAAAAACAGTTCAAAACTTGAGTAGAAAGAAAACTTTCATAACGAAGGCAGTATAATAAAAAAAACTGTTAAATTTGAATTTTAAATTCCTTTTTTGAAAATTTAATTTCGAAATTGTTTAGTTACACCAGTTTTATACACAAAGATTCTATTTTTTGTCATGTTGATTACCT